CTATAGATACGAAACTCTAGTGTGTTTAATCCTATAAATACTATACTCTAATGTGTTTAATCCTATAGATACTATACTCTAGTGTGTTTAATCCAATAGATACTATACTCTAGTGTGTTTAATCCTATAGATACTATACTCTAGTGTGTTTCATCCTATAGATACTATACTCTAGTGTGTTAAATCCTATAAATACTATACTCTAGTGTGGTTAATCCTATAAATACTATACTCTAGTGTGTTTAATCCTATAGATACTATACTCTAGTGTGTTTAATCCTATAGATACTATACTCTAGTGTGTTTAATCCTATAGATACTATAATCTAGTGTGTTTAATCCTATAGATACTATACTCTAGTGTGTTTAAACCTATAAATACTATACTCTAATGTGTTTAATCCTATAGATACTATACTCTAGTGTGTTTAATCCTATATATACTATACTCTAGTGTGTTTAATCCAATAGATACTATACTCTAGTGTGTTTCATCCTATAGATACTATACTCTAGTGTGCTTAATCCTATAAATACTATACTCTAGTGTGTTTAATCCTATAGATACTATACTCTAGTGTGTTTAATCCTATAGATACTATACTCTAGTGTGTTTAATCCTATAGATACTATACTCTAGTGTGTTTAATCCTATAGATACTATACTCTAGTGTGTTAAATCCTTTAAATACTATACTCTAGTGTGTTTAATCCTATAAATACTATACTCTAGTGTGTTTAATCCAATAGATACTATAATCTAGTGTGTTTAATCCTATAGATACTATACTCTAGTGTGTTTAATCCTATAAATACTATACTCTAGTGTGTTTAATCCTATAGATACTATACTCTAGTGTGTTAAATCCTATAAATACTATACTCTAGTGTGTTTAATCCTATAAATACTATACTCTAGTGTGTTTAATCCTATATATACTATACTCTAGTGTGTCTAATCCTATAGATACTATACTCTAGTGTGTCTAATCCTATAGATACTATACTCTAGTCTGTTTAATCCTATAGATACTATACTCTAGTGTGTTTAATCCTATAGATACTATACTCTAGTGTGTTTCATCCTATAGATACTATACTCTAGTGTGTTTAATCCTATAGATACTATACTCTAGTGTGTTTAATCCTATAGATACTATACTCTAGTGTGTTTCATCCTATAGATACTATACTCTAGTGTGTTTAATCCTATAGATACTATACTCTAGTGTGTTTCATCCTATAGATACTATACTCTAGTGTGTTTAATCCTATAGATACTATACTCTAGTGTGTTTAATCCTATAGATACTATACTCTAGTGTGTTTCATCCTATAGATACTATACTCTAGTGTGTTTAATCCTATAGATACTATACTCTAGTGTGTTTAATCCTATAGATACTATACTCTAGTGTGTTTAATCCTATAGATACTATACTCTAGTGTGTTTCATCCTATAGATACTATACTCTAGTGTGTTTAATCCTATAGATACTATACTCTAGTGTGTTTAATCCAATAGATACTATACTCTAGTGTGTTTAATCCTATAGATACTATACTCTAGTATGTTTAATCCTATAAATACTATACTCTAGTGTGTTTCATCCTATAGATACTATACTCTAGTGTGTTTAATCCTATAGATACTATACTCTAGTGTGTTAAATCCTATAAATACTATACTCTAGTGTGTTTAATCCTATAAATACTATACTCTAGTGTGTTTAATCCTATAGATACTATACTCTAGTGTGTTTCATCCTATAGATACTATACTCTAGTGTGTTTAATCCTATAGATACTATACTCTAGTGTGTTTAATCCTATAGATACTATACTCTAGTGTGTTTAATCCTATAGATACTATACTCTAGTGTGTTTCATCCTATAGATACTATACTCTAGTGTGTTTAATCCTATAGATACTATACTCTAGTGTGTTTAATCCAATAGATACTATACTCTAGTGTGTTTAATCCTATAGATACTATACTCTAGTATGTTAAATCCTATAAATACTATACTCTAGTGTGTTTCATCCTATAGATACTATACTCTAGTGTGTTTAATCCTATAGATACTATACTCTAGTGTGTTAAATCCTATAAATACTATACTCTAGTGTGTTTAATCCTATAAATACTATACTCTAGTGTGTTTAATCCTATATATACTATACTCTAGTGTGTTTAATCCTATAGATACTATACTCTAGTGTGTCTAATCCTATAGATACTATACTCTAGTCTGTTTAATCCTATAGATACTATACTCTAGTGTGTTTAATCCTATAGATACTATACTCTAGTGTGTTTCATCCTATAGATACTATACTCTAGTGTGTTTAATCCTATAGATACTATACTCTAGTGTGTTTCATCCTATAGATACTATACTCTAGTGTGTTTAATCCTATAGATACTATACTCTAGTGTGTTTAATCCTATAGATACTATACTCTAGTGTGTTTCATCCTATAGATACTATACTCTAGTGTGTTTAATCCTATAGATACTATACTCTAGTGTGTTTAATCCTATAGATACTATACTCTAGTGTGTTTAATCCTATAGATACTATACTCTAGTGTGTTTCATCCTATAGATACTATACTCTAGTGTGTTTAATCCTATAGATACTATACTCTAGTGTGTTTAATCCAATAGATACTATACTCTAGTGTGTTTAATCCTATAGATACTATACTCTAGTATGTTTAATCCTATAAATACTATACTCTAGTGTGTTTCATCCTATAGATACTATACTCTAGTGTGTTTAATCCTATAGATACTATACTCTAGTGTGTTAAATCCTATAAATACTATACTCTAGTGTGTTTAATCCTATAAATACTATACTCTAGTGTGTTTAATCCTATATATACTATACTCTAGTGTGTTTAATCCTATAGATACTATACTCTAGTGTGTCTAATCCTATAGATACTATACTCTAGTCTGTTTAATCCTATAGATACTATACTCTAGTGTGTTTAATCCTATAGATACTATACTCTAGTGTGTTTCATCCTATAGATACTATACTCTAGTGTGTTTAATCCTATAGATACTATACTCTAGTGTGTTTCATCCTATAGATACTATACTCTAGTGTGTTTCATCCTATAGATACTATACTCTAGTGTGTCTAATCCTATAGATACTATACTCTAGTGTGTTTAATCCTATAGATACTATACTCTAGTGTGTTAAATCCTATAAATACTATACTCTAGTGTGTTTAATCCTATAAATACTATACACTAGTGTGTTTCATCCTATAGATACTATACTCTAGTGTGTTTCATCCTATAGATACTATACTCTAGTGTGTCTAATCCTATAGATACTATACTCTAGTGTGTTTAATCCTATAGATACTATACTCTAGTGTGTTTAATCCTATAGATACTATACTCTAGTGTGTCTAATCCTATAGATACTATACTCTAGTCTGTTTAATACTTTACTCTAGATTAAAACTTCTTCTGGGATAATGTTAAGGTAGGATATAATCCTTGCTTACACATGCGCGTGTGAATGCATATGTTTGTTTGTTTTTCTCTCTTTAAGGCCAAATAACCTCTATGGCTGCTAATATTCTACTCAATGCACGTTCAATCAACACCCACAATTGGAAGGCTCTGGGTATTCCTTAACTTCTTTTGTGTAGTATATCAGCAGCCATTGATTTAGATTCATTGGCCTTAGATTTTGGAATGACACAACATGGCAACAAAAAAAACCCTCCATCACGATGAAGGTGATGACACAGACACAGTATGGATAGCTACAGACATTCATCTGACAGTCGCACAGAAATGGCAACTTCATGAATATATTAAGTGAATTGATTGTGTTGCCTTGGCAGCTTGTGTGGAGATTGCCTACATAGACTGGTGCCGACATTTAGTGAGTGTGTTGTTTTCGATGCCACTTCTAGCAATATTGCAACCATATGAAGACAGAGGATATCAGGAACTTGCTTCACACATTGTACCCATGTGGGGAATCAAACCTGTGCCAAGGCATGATGAGTAAACCCTTTAACCACTAGGCCACCCCACTGCCCCTTACACTTAATGGAACACATGTAAGGCATGTATTTGTGCTTCAGACTGACCCATGACCCATGACACTCTTTTTTCTGTATCATTCTGACACCAGGCTCATCAGTTTGACAAGAAATGGGCCAGTTGACACATTAGTATTTGACGACAATCTGAATCAGCTCTACTGCTTCAAGCCTCTTTTCATGTAAGATGACATTATGGAGACATGTACCAGTATGAAGACCCACTATTGTCATGTAAGATGACATTATGGAGACATGTACCAGTATGAAGACCCACTATTGTCATGTAAGATGACATTATGGAGACATGTACCGGTATGAAGACCCACTATTGTCATGTAAGATGACACATGTCGGTGTAAGGTGCCAAAATCTACCTCCCTTCAGAGCATACCCGGGGTAGATTTCGGGGAGTTCCCAGAACCTACCCCCGTGTAGATAATAATAAATTGTTATCAAATCCAAAAATTTAAAATGTTGTTTTATACATGCAAAGAAGAAATAAATATTGTTTAAACTAAAAATAAATATCTTACAAATCACATTGACTTTAACTCATTGTTGTCATCATCAATTTGTAAGTTCGAAAGTTGGTGTTGAGAATTGTGTGAGGAAACGTCCTACACTTATGTTATTGAATAAGCTTTAATATGCTTTGTGAATAGACCTAGCTATTTTTGATTGCATATAAAATCATTTTGAAACCAATTATAGTTATAACCCGGGGTAGATTCTGGTAACTCCCAGAGTATAACCGCTGGGGGTTGATTCTGGTAAAGGGGGGTATACTTTGAAGGGGGGGTATACTTTCAGACTTTACACTGGGTATGACGTCCTCCGTGAAGCCCTGCCCTGTATGATGACTTTTACGCTAGATGTACATCAATATGACATTAATTAAGTCAGAGAGTACTTACCTACATATTTCAGTTGAAGTTGGTTATTGTGTCCCTTGGTTTGGATGTTGGACTGTCCTTGGTAGGGTGCACCTGCCTCTGAATCTCACAATTTCCTGAAACAAAAACAAAACTGCTTGACTTTTTAAAAAAACAATTACATTAACTGAAACACAATTAATCCCTTGTTTTTTTGTTTTGCACTCAGCAATATTCCAGTTTTATAATGGCATTTGTAGTTTAACACCACACTCATCAACATTCCTGCTATATGATGGCTGTCTGTAAATTATTCAGTGCAGACCAAATAATCCAGTGATTGACATCATGAGTATCAATCTATGCAACTGGGATACGATGACAGTGAGCCTGACCACCTGATCACATTAGTTACCACTAACAACAAGCTTCGGTTAAGTTGCTGAAGACAAGGAAATTACAAGGAAATTACTTCCAATACTATACAGTCAACATATCACATCTCTCTAAGTCACCAGGGGCGGTCGGGTAGCCTCGTGGTTAAAGCGTTCGCTCGTCACGCCGAAGACCCGGGTTCGATTCCCGACATGGGTACAATGTGTAAAGCCCATTTCTGGTGTCCCCTGCCATGATATTGCTGGAATATTGATAAAAGCGGCGTAAAACCATACTCACTCACTCACTCTAAGTCACCAGCCTTCGTGTCAGTTATAACTAGACAACGTCCCACTCAACAACCACTGCACAAGATAAGGACTAATACCCGATACACGAAGTTTGTATTGAATACAATGTTCATCAGAGTAAACAAATAGAAATCTCCCATGTTACTACTTACAATTACATGGAGTATTGACAATCGCATGGCTCAGAGAGACTGTGTGAAAAATGCCACCAGAGGCTATAGCTTGTACTGCATCCCTCGATACAGATGGTGGTGACAACATGCCTCACTAACGTTTCACTTTCACTTCCACCATCCTGAACATGTTATAATAACATATCCATATCCCCCACTCACCAGTCAGTAGTTCCTTGCACAGAGATGATCGATCTACCCGTATCTATCTCTACACCTATCTATCCACCCATGTCAAACAAACATACAGTACTCCACCCCAACTTGAGATAATAATCATGAAAGCCAATCCCTGACGATCTGGGAGTGAAAACAATACGATCACACTTGGCGGTGTATAACAGGTTTATACCATACCTATATTCCATATGGCCAGGGTATATATACAATTTGTACATGTTCCCATAACAAATGCATTTAGGGGGATCATATGTCACACACACAGCGATTTATTTAGACGATAGTGTTCATAATATACACACTTGTCACACAGTGATGGCGCAAGTTTTGAGGTAATTCCCATAAATACGAAGGTTAGCTTATATTTTATTAGATTCCATGTCCTGATAACTGAAATATCAATAATGATTTACTCTCATTTCAGGACAAAACACTGTGGATTTCACACGGAGAATATTTTCTCTCAGGTCAATACAAATTAGTTTAGAAATAGAGTGAATATTTTACGGAGATGTTTATGAGAAAAGAAGTTGCCTTCTTACTGGTAGGTTAACGTCAATATCAGACATCACGGACGATTCAATCAAATCCATACATATGAACCTGGGTGAATGTTATCTGTGTTATAATAGGACAGTTCAATATTCAATGTTTTGCATGTCTATTGATTTGTTTAGGTTCACTAGGGGGATGCACGGCGTACACTGGCTCATACACACCAGGTAAACATACATCTAAGAAGCATATCCCACACAAGATTCAGCTGTACAGTTCTGGGTCCCATTCCTCAAAGTGATCTTATCGCTAAGGTGATTGTAAGTCCCATACTTTAACATAGGCTTACGATCATCGTAGCGCTAAGATCGCCTTGAGGAACAGGGTCCTAATCAATACACACCAGGTAAACATACATGAAACGAGCAGCCCACACAAGATTCACCCGTACAGTTCTGATCACTTCAAAAGCAGAGTCGGATCCAGGATTTTGAAAAGGGGGTGCACATAATACCTAAGTGACAAAGTGACTTGACCGAAGGTGCAGCCAACATGTAACGTGTCTGAAGAAAGGGGGTGCATGCACCCCATATGGATCCGACAGTGAAAAGAAATCTGAAATTCCCAAGACTGACTTTAAAAAATGCAAATCCTCCCACCTGACCAATCTGTTGATTAATTAATATTCTTGAATACTTCCAATAAGTCCATGCAGCAGCTTTGATAAAGTATCCTGATCAGCTTGTTGCTGTGGCACAGCCGAGCTGGATGGAATAAACACAAGTGATACTTCTCGTTCAGGCAACACACTCGATGTTATCGCAAACACAATTAAATAAACCGTCCACTTTTTTTATCCACCCCAGTGACCAGCTGGTAGAAACAAACTTGGTATCCCAACTGAATGAGCATCTTGTATAATTCCACCCTTTCTCCAAAACACTTAGTCCCAGTCAGCTGTCAGGGATGATGTGTCATCACCCATCAATCATCACATGCTGTATATATCACGATTGTTCCACATAGGTAGTATACTTCAACGGCCATGCAACTTCCTTGATGGAGACATCGTAAACACATAAAACAATTGGCAGGCTGGTCGAGCTAAACAAATTGTATTCCCCTCCGACCCACAGCTGCAGGGGGGATTATAGAGCTGTATACCAGTTGCTGAGGAGATGGGTTGATATGCTAATGTCACCTTGTGTAACAATGTGGCTCTGTGCGCACTGAGCACTTAGTGTCATGATATGCACTAATTTGTTACACAATGGATGAATAGCAACAGTTGAATTAGGAGACAGCTTCAAATAATTATCAGGCTTATCAACTGGAAACCACAATGTAATTAAATAACACTGATAAACCCTAGTATTACATTTACATTAATTCATATACACCACATAAAAAATGTTTATAATTCAAAACTAAAAACTCCTTGGACAAGGCTAAAAATGTTAATAATTCAAAACTAAAAAATCATTGAATATATTCCCTATTTCCACGTATTACCACCAACAGCCAACAGGAATATTGCCAGAATATTGGACAAGGATATATAATGTTAATAATTTAAAACTACAAATTCATTAAATATATTCCCTAGGAGCTATTTCCACATAATACTGACAACAGTCAACAGGAATGTTGTCAGAATATTGGACAAGGTTAATATTTCAAAACTACAAAATCATTTAATATATTCCCTAGGAGCCATTTCCACGTAATACCGACAACAGTCAACATGAATGTTGTCAGAATATTTGACAAGGTTAATAGTTCAAAACTACAAAATCATTGAATATATTCCAGGGGAGATATTTTCACGTATTACCAACAACTGTCAACAGCAATATTGTCAGAACATTGGACAAGGTTATTTTACCTTCTCCTTATGGTTCTAGCTCCCTGCTACATCCTCATGTAAAACATCAGTATCAGTACATGTCAAGGCACTGAGCAGCATCCCTGGCCGGGCCGGGACTCCAGACTCTCCTGTGACAGATGCCTGCAACTTATTGCATGTCTCTCGGGACGATGTTGCGGAGTGAAGATGTAGCAGGTTATTACTGCCGTCCTATGATCTTCCATGATGCGGAGGAAGTTATGTTTAAAGGTCAAGATGTCTGAAGGTAATTAAATAATCTGCTTGGCAACCCCCTGTGACCAGTAACCAACATCCCTATTGCATGTCCCGCTCAAACACACTCAAGGTCAATCAGCACTCTCACTTCCTTTCAATTATTTTTTTTTAAATTGATAAGTGCATTTTGTGCAGTTTATTGCAGTGATGTTTTCATCAGTGTAATTTTCTGTATTTGAACTATGTAGGAAGTGTAGAAATTCTGCAACCAATAATATTTCATATTTTTCTGTATATAACAGTTTAAGATGGAGGAAACATATGATCATCATCACTATCATTGTCGTCATCCTCATCCTCCTAATGATCATCATCATCATCATCATCATCATCATCGTCATCATCATCATCATCGTCATCCTCTTCCTCCTCATAGCTGTCATCATCATCATCATTTTCATCATAATCATAATCAATATTTGATTCATTAGTCCTCATTATAGAAAGAGTGAATATTGTTTTAATATCCCAGTTAGCAATATTCCAGCCATGCAAATATCTGGGACAGGCACACCATTGTTTTATAGTACAAGTAATCACAATCTGTGCCACCGTCATATGACTGGAATATTGCTGAGTTTGGCGTTTAACAACAAACAAACACAATCTGGGACCACCCAATCCCCACTTAAATCAGCACGTCGATGACCTGTAACAGGATCTACTATAACAAAACCAGAAGCTGTGTATACAGTAAGTATACTGATACTTCCAAACCTTACTTCAAACCTACTTCTGTGATTGCCTTTCAGTGTACCATTCACAGGCTTTCCTACAACCACCAAAAGAGACATGCCTTCACTTTCTGTAAACAATACGAGTGTTTTGTGACATGATATTAGTTGTGAGGATAACAGTCCAGTATTTATGAAGTTGCTAGTCAACTCACCTGTGATACCCAGTGAGACAATACCATGGTGTATCTGCCGAGATGGTAATCGATATACCTGTACATGGCATTATATAATGTTGGTGCTGCCACTGCTATCTATAGCTGAAACCCGATCCACGCGTGTACTGCAAAGCCCTATATACACAAGCAGGTATTTAGGTCTACCGGCCAGGAATACTGAGTTTGTTTATGAAGGGGATTATGGGTTCCTCGCAGATATGTTTTTTACCATCACGATTTTACTTTCAAGTGCAGGGTGGTCTGTTTTTTGTATGAATTGTAATGGCTGACAGAAAGTGAGGCTGTAGTGAAAGTTGTTTTTTTTTGTCACCATAGGTTTTATTAGGGGTTGGAGTTGAAGTGTACTTGGATCCAGGTTGAAGTGTGGGTGGGGCTTTGTGGTGAAGGGTGGTGGAGTTTTGTGGTGAAGTGTGGGAGGGGTTTGGGGGTGTGGGTTGAGCTTTGGGGTGATGTGTGGGTTGAGCTTTTGGGTGAAGTATGGGTGGGGCCTTGCGGTGATGTGTGGGTGGGGCTTTGGGGTGAAGTGTGGGTTGAGCTTCTGGGTGAAGTGTGGGCGGGGCCTTGGGGTGAAGTGTGGGTGGGGCTTTGGGGCGAAGTGTGGGTGGGGCTTTGGGAAGAAGTGTGAGTGGGGCTTTGAGAAGAAGTGTTGGTGGGGCTTAGGGGGGAAGTGTGGGTGGGGTTTTGGGGTGAAGTGTGGGTGGGGCCTTGGGGTGATGTGTGGGTAGGGCTTTGGGGTGAAGTGTGGGTGGGGCCTTGGGGTGATGTGTGGGTAGGGCTTTGGGGTGAAGTGCGGGTTGAGCTTCTGGGTGAAGTGTGGGTGGGGCTTTGGGGAGAGGTGTGGGTGGGGCTTTGGGGTGAAGTGTGGGTGGGGTTTTGGGGTGAAGTGTGGGTGGGGTTTTGGGATGAAGTGTGGGTAGGGCTTTGGGGTGAAGTGTGGGTGGGGCCTTGGGGTGATGTGTGGGTGGGGTTTTGGGGTGAAGTGTGGGTGGGGTTTTGGAGTGAAGTGTGGGTGGGGTTTTGGGGTGAAGTGTGGGTTGAGCTTTGGGGTGAAGTTGGAGGTCCTAAAATATGCTACCAAACAATAATTCTTGTGACTTTTAGAATCATAAGAAAACACTGACATTAGTGAGTAAGATCGAGCATAGCAGACCCAACCTTCACATTTCTTCAACTTAATGAAACAATCGATGCAGTTATTGTTAAATTTATATCTTGAGCAATCTCATCAAGATCAGATCAATTACTCTGATATGAGTGAGTGAGTTGGGTTTAACACTGCTTTGAACAGTACATGGCATGTCAGTTTGATGTGGGAGGAAAGCCCTAAGTAATACAGGTCTCAGACGTTTTATCACTTTGGTGAAACCCACGAGCACAGGTATGGTGCTGACAAACCTAGAAACATAATCAGGGTGAACCTAGAAACATAATCAGGGTGAACCTAGAAACATAATCAGGGTGAACCTAGAAACATAATCAGGGTGAACCTAGACACATAATCAGGGTGAACCTAGACACATAATCAGGGTGAACCTAGACACATAATCAGGGTGAACCTAGACACATAATCAGGGTGAACCTAGACACATAATCAGGGTGAACCTAGACACATAATCAGGGTGAACCTAGACACATAATCAGGGTGAACCTAGACACATAATCAGGGTGAACCTAGACACATAATCAGGGTGAACCTAGACACATAATCAGGGTGAACCAGGATTCGAACCCACGATAGGTTTCTGGTGTGCCCAATGATGCATCATGAAGATCCAAGGACACCTCCATAGTCGAAAATCAAATATCAGTGCAAATAACTTAAAGCATTACATAAATCTTTACAATAATCTTGATCATTTTATGCTCACTAACACCCTATGAAAATTACTTGAAAAACAATCTCCTTACTTGTTTAAAATAAACCAGCAATCCTGGCTATTTTCTTGAAAAACGATTCCGTCAAATGAAAATCAGATCCAGAGGCTTGAAAGTACAGAGTAAGTATGAAGGTAGGGGACGCGTGACTCAGTCAGTCAGCTGGTCCACACATCTGGCGACTCTAGCCGGTGTGGACAACACTGCTTCCACAATAGCTTATTCACACACTAATGCCCTTCTGCGGCAATAGCGCTGCAAATCTAGCAGTTTTACTGTCACAAAATAACAGAGAGAACAAGCAGAATGTTTTCCAGCTGAAGGGATGATAAGTATGCTATGTGTCATTATTCCATGTGATCAGCACAATCGGCCCGCCACAGGGGATGGTAAATAATTCATGGTTCCCTGACTGTTTATCAAATAAATCAATATTATTAATAATTACAGAAAGGTTGTTTCTTGACAAATGTGTTTATGTAATGCTGGTCGCCAGAGCAGCATTCATTGTTGCATCAATACGTCACAATACATCAGCCAAGGAAACAATGCTTGAATATACATCGGCCCAGGATACAATACACCAAGATACATCAGCCCAGGGTACAATACATTGTTATACATAGGCCCAGGATACAATACACTGTTATACATCAGCCCAGGGTACAATACATTGTTATACATAGGCCTAGGGTACAATACACTGTTATACATAGGCCTAGGGTACAATACATCGTTATACATCGGCCCAGGATACAATACACTGTTATACATCAGCCCAGGGTACAATACATTGTTATACATAGGCTCAGGGTACAATACATTGTTAAACATCGGCCCAGGGTACAATACATTGTTATGCATCGGCTCAGGGTACAATACATTGTTATACATCGGCACAGGATACAATACACCAAGATACTTCAGCCCAGGGTACAATACATTGTTATACATAGGCCCAGGTTAACAATTATACATTGTTATACATGGGCCCAGGGTACAATATACTGTTATACATCGGCCCAAGGTACAATACATTGTTATACATCGGCCCAGGGTACAATACACCAAAATACATCAGCCAAGGGTACAATACATTGTTATACATCGGCCCAGGGTACAATTCACTGTTATACATTGGCCTAGGGTACAATACACTGTTATACATCAATCCAGGGTACAATACACTGTTATACATCAGTCCAGGGTACAATACACTGTTATACATTGGCCTAGGATACAAGAGCTGGGTGG